AGATTAAATTAAAGCATATGTAACGACATAAATTGACAGTACACTAATGGTGTGGTTGGCATTCAGCGGTTAGCGGTTAGCCGACAACGGGTTATGTTAGCGGGTTGTCAATAGCGGATTCAATCAACGGATTTGACTACCGGAATAAATTGGTGGATTGTCACAAGATGTTTGGTAATTTAGTTGTTTGACAATAAAATTAGTGGAAAACGTCATTTTTCAAAACGTCAACCCAAAACTCTTCTATTAGCAGCGTTTTCATTTCAGCGTTTCTGGCCAAAAACGTCAGTGCCGAACAGCCATTTACCAAACAGCTTCTTCACGTTTTGAAAACGCTAAAAGTGGTCAAACTGTCATTTTTCGGCTGAAACACCATTTACCAAACACCCCCTAAAAGTATACTTGAACCATACAATATACGAACGTATTTTAGCACTTCATTAGATACAAAGTGTTTAAATGATGGGCTATAATTAATAGGACTTTATAAAACATACAAATCTTAATGCCAAAAAATATTGAGGTCGACTAACATGAATCGATGCATGATATTAGCGTCAAAAACAGAAGAAAGATAATAAAAAATAGAAAAAGGTAAAATAAAATAGATACAATTTTGGCTGCAAAGGTATATTTTGGTTCACGGGAAAAATTCGCAATGTGGCCGCAATGGGGTAGCATTGAGTTGATCAGGCCACATCGGACCACATTGAGCCGCATCGGAACACATTGGGCCGCACCAGGGGTCCAGGGCAACACTAATTTATCCTTTTTATTTCGTTTGAACGTAAAAAAAAATTCCACAACATCTGCCGTAATACGCATCGCAATGGCCTTAATGATTAATAAATTAATATAATTATTAAACAAACACAATTTCCTACTCCGTAATTGATTATGGTAAGTTCATAATAAAAATTTATTATATCCACCTTTGGATTTTATAATAATTCACAATATCTATTTGCATTTTTCATTTTATTTCATATCAAATTGACATGCTACCGGGGCATGCCCCGGGCTTTACACTAGTTATGACTAAACCTATCAACACTAACTTTTTCTCGCATATGCTGCGTTTGGAGCATGTATCCCATTGAGCATAGAGCATTTTTGCATATTTATTTTTATTTTTTATTTTTAGGGTATTGAAATTGTAATTTTATTGGTTACAAATGTTTTAAAATTTTTTATAAAAATTAAAAAACAGCAAAAACTTGATTTTTGACCATGTTTTGTTGACTTCTGGGGTCTGGGGAGGGGGATTGGGGGGGCCTGGAGTAATCAGAACTGAAACTCACTCTATTGAGTTTCAAACCTTTATGAGTAATTCTATTCACAACCTATGAAGCACAAATACTTCCCTGGGGTAGGGTATCGGCGTATCGGATACGTTCCCGTATCCGATACTCTAGGATACCCGTACCGTACGTTCCCGGGTCGTATCTGCAATTTTTAAAAGTTTCCATTTTTTTTTGTAAATTTTTTGAAAGTTTCCGATACTCGTATCATGACAGATACCTGTATCAACTTTTTTTTGAAAAAATAAACCCAAAATTTACTTAATAAAATTCTAAAAAGATGAAAATCTAAAACTACATTTTACTTGATAATCAAATAATGGGCCTATATGGCTATATTTCCATTTTACGGGCATACTTTGCCTACTTTATCATCATGCTCATAAAGGAATTGGAATTCTTATTCTTTTATTAATTCATTTAGAAGAAACAAACTGCTTCCAAAGCGAGCGGAGGATTTGGTATTTGTTCATAACAATCTTCGTCTTTTATCACGAGCTTCTAAACAGTATATGAATGACAAAAGTAAAATGTGGGATGTTGGTGGAGATGATTTTGGGAGTATGGAGGATATAGGAGTACTTGAGTTTGCCAACCTCTCCATAGATGAACCGGAATTGGATGCCGTTTTTTTGGAAGACGATATTATCCCTGGAAATTAATACTTCCAGTGAAAATATGTATTAGAAGTTAGAACTTTTAAAATATTGTTTTCTATCTTCATTATTCTAGAACTTTGGGTACTTGCACTTTTAATTTCAAGATTGTAATTGTTTGACTTATTTCTCATTTTAAATTAATGACTTATTGACTACATTTATATTTCGAGATGCACTAGTCTATATGAAAAATATTATGAATTTATTACTAAGTATCTTGAAAAAGAAAAATGCTTCAATGCAATGAATGGGTAGACGTCATACGATATTATATGTATACATTTTCAAAAAAAAATCTATTTTTAATATTTACAAATACACCCCTATAACTTTTAATATTTGTAAATACACCCCCATAACTTTTAATATTTATAAATATGGCCCCGTATCCGTATCGGTGTTACATACGGAGTAGTTCACAATCCATTAATTATTAAATACAACCCTATAATTTTAAAAAACCTGTTATACCCTTATCTTATCATTTTAGCCCATCTTCGTTACCGCTTCGGCTTGTTACTCTGTACATTCTTTCCTCTGTCACCGAGTCGCACCAACAGAAATCCCTGATAAAAAAATACACCTAATATTCAATTGCGTTTGAATAGATGATTCAAGCAGGTCAAAAGCTCCATATATCTCTAACACCAATAATATGGAGTACGGGTGATACTAATCAAGTAATGTACTCATAATATATCTTACCTTCATACAATGTATACATGTGTGCGTAATTTAAATGCATGTGTAAATAAAAATATTAATGAGGAAGACGAAGCTAGATGATGTGCACGTCTTCTTCTCCCACCACTTCAAATCAAAGTGAAAATTTTCAATTTAATTCAGGACATATATATAGAGTGCTATTCCTGTCCGGAAATTCCGGACAGGAGCCCTGTCCGGCCTCCTCCATTTGGGGCCTTTCCGGTGGAATTGTTTGCTCAATTGTTTTGTGTATGTTCCTCATCAAGTCTAGTTCATCCATACCAAATTTCAGTAAAAAATTCAAATTGAGGAGGCCGGACGGGGCTCCTGTCCGGAAATTCTAAACAGGAATAATCCTGTATATATATATATATATATATATATATATATATAGAATTTAGTTCAAATAAAAAGTACTTCATAGGTGAAAAATAAGAGCTAATCTTGGCCGTTGATGTGAAAAAATGGATGGAAGAGATCAATTTTTAAGTGGGAAACGCGGTGGCATTTGTGTAATTATGGAGAACTTTTTTTGAAAATATTGTGACAAGTGTGTATCAGAATAGTCAAAAAGTGCACACGTAGAACACAAAAGTGCAATACGATATCAAATAAAAAGTGCACAAGTTTGAAAATTTTGACAATCTTTTTTGACACGCGTGAGTGCACTTTTGGTTAGTAGCTATCCACTTTATAGTGTAAACATTTGCACATTTTTTGAAACCGTCTCTTATGTTTAAAGTTCATCTAATCCATCCATTTTCAAGTGATCAAAGGTCAAGATTTATTCTCACTTTTCATGGGAAGACTACTTTTTACTTGAACCCACCCCTATATATATATATATATATATATATATATATATATATAGACAAATCTTCATGTCACGCCGGCCTGACGGGATGCTCCGTCCGGCCGAGCCCGTTTGGTCACCTTCCCGGTAGAATGTTTTGATGAAATTTTTTGAGCATGTTCCTCATCAAGTCTAATTTGTCCATACCAAATTTCAGCTCAAAATTCGATCGGGAAGGCATTCAAATCATTTTTTGAAGTTGACTGCGTCTAAATATACATATAAAAATGCAGTCAACTTCAAAAAATGATTTGAATGCCTTCCCGATTGAAGTTTGAGCTGAAATTTGGTATGGACAAACTAGACTTGATGAGGAACATGCTCAAAAAATTTCATCAAAAAATTCCACCGGGAACCGCCCCAAACGGCGGTGTTCGGACGGAGGCTCCCGTCCGAACGTTCAGACCTGAACATTCTTGTATATATATATATATATATATATATATATATATATATATATATATATATATATATATATATATAGGGGTGAGATCACATACTAACTAGTCCTCCCATGCTAACCTACAAACCATCATAAACAGTGCATCTTACATGATTTGTACTGCATATTGCAGTTCAAAGTGTTGCATATTATTTGTACTGCATATTAAAGTTCAAAGTATTGCATATTATTTGTATTGCATATTGAAATTCACAGTATGCATCTTTACATTATTTGTACTGCATATTGAAGTTCAAATTGTTGCATATTATTGGGTTTGTAGGTTAGTATTTTAAGCATGGTTTGCACTTGATCTCTTATCTATATATATATATATATATATATAGAGAGAGAGAGAGAGAGAGAGAGAGAGAGAGAATTATTCAGGTCCGGCCAGGCCGGACCACTCCCCTGTCCGGCCACCTCAATTTGAGGTGGTTCCCGATGGTATTTTTTGTGTATGTTCCTCATCAAGTCTAGTTCATCCATACCAAATTTGAGCAAAAAATTCAATCGGTAAGGTCGTCAAATGATTTTTGCAAGTTCACTGCGTTTTATATGTATATTCCAGACTAGTTAACTTGCAAAATTCATTTGACGACCTTCCCGGTTGAATTTTTTGCTCAAATTTGATATGGATGAACTAGACTTGATGAAGAACAGACACAAAAAATTTGAGCCAAAAATACTACCGGGAATCACCTCAAATTGAGGTGGCCGGACGAGCCTCCTGTCTGGCCTGGCCGGACAGGAAAAGGACTCTCTCTCTCTCTCTCTCTCTCTATATATATATATATATATATATATATATACTCCCTCTGTCCCATTGGACTTTGCCAACTTTTTTTTTTGGTTGTCCCAAAAAATTTTACCATTTCTCCATTAAAGCAACTAATTTGTGGTCCTACACATTTCTCCCTTCTCTACACAAATCTCAACCACACAGTTTTTACTATTCTTATTTCTCACCACAAAATAGGTAGTATATATCAAAGAAAATTTTCAATTAAACATAGGTTCGGTTTTTTAAAAATAGCTTCTTTTCACATGTACTAAGGAATTCTGACCAGTCATCATTCCGTCGGCCGCAAGTAGGCAACGGAAGCGAACAAAAGATTGACAGATAAAGCGGAAGATGAGATGTGGAGTAGGGGGGCAGGCACAGAGGGAACGGGGAAGCTCTTAGACGAGCACCACCCTCAGTTGCTCCGTTCTCTCTCCTCTCTTGCGGCGGTGCTCATGTCATCGCTCTTACCTCAGGTTTCATTCATCCTACCTACGTTCATGGAACTGTTTAGATATTGCCCAATTACTTGTTTTTCCCCACTTTTATCTGTTTTCGTGGTTACCCAAAATACAATTTTTGAGCTCAAAACTACTGAGTTGGATAGAATGGCAATCGTCTAAAAATTGAAACCCTAACACAAATTTTGAGAAGTGATGAGAATATAGCTCAAGTTTGAGATCCTGCTGTAAGTTTTAAAATGACCACAGTGTGGCTGAATGATTGAGGGAATCAGCTGAATTACTAAAGAAGATATCTGTTATGACACGGGTTCCATCCTAAAAGGTCAACCTGTTAGGAGGAGTAGCCCGAAGCTTAATATAGCACTCTAGTGTTTCTCAATTTTCCGGTGTGAGACATTTAACACCCCTTCTCACAACCAGACACTTCGTCTGGATCGTGTCGTCATTCATTTTTCATCGGTTTTTCAATTTTTTTTATCCTGTCGTCATTTTTCATAAGGGGCCCCACACCATGGATCGATTTGGCTCTGATACCATGTTAAGACACGGAGTTCCATCCTAAAAGGTCAACCTGTTAGGAGGAGTAGCCCGAAACTTAATATAGCACTCTAGTTTTTGTCAATTTTCCGGTGTGGGACATTTAACAATATCTAAAGTATCTACAGTAAAAAGATAAAGAAAACATGTGGCTAAAAAGCTGAAGTGGTCATCTTAATCAGCTTAAGTCATTTCAGCCAAAATATACCTTCAACCTTATTTTTATTTCATTATTGACTACTTCAAACCTTAATATTCTCATTGTTAACCCATCGGTGAAGTAAAAATATTAGTGCTTGGCAGAGATGTATGACTGGTAAGCTGGAAAATAGTGCTACTACACGGTCATTCAAAGTTGGGCATTTGCAGGTGGAAGAGTGGTAACATGGGGTAGGGTTACATCTGGGCAATTGGGCCATAGGGAAGCTGTTAACAGTGTGCAGCCTATGGTTGTGGAGACTTTGGTAGCTTTTGTTGTTACATATATTTCTGCTGGTTGTAGTCACTCTGGTTTTGTTTCTGGTCTATCTGCTCTCCTCTTCATTGGAGTGTTCTTTAGGACGCACAGTCACACACCACCTCAGGTTTATGTTTGCTTTTTTACCTGGATTTTATCATACGTGGGAATTCATATTTTCTGTTTTGGTTTGGATTTCAATTAATGCTATATAGCAGTCAACTCTTCTTGTGTGGGGATGATGTGTTTGGGCAGCTTGGTCTTGGAGAATACATATTCCACTCCTCTCCTGTAGAATTACCATATTTAGCTCTAGACATGTCAAACAAATTGCTTGTGGTATTGATAAGTTTGTATTACAACACACATTTGATGCGTGTTGCGGTCGGATTTTGATGGTTTTCCTAGCTTTAAGGTGTTGCAAGTCTCAATTTTAGCTCAAGTTGTGTTTACCTGGCGTTGATTCGAGTTTTGTGTCATTTGAAGTCAAAATCGAGAATTTAGAGTTCGGCATTGGCGTTTGAGGAGCCATCGGGAAGAGTTAGAAAGCATTCGAGAAAGATTCGAGAGATTTGGAGGTCACCGGGAGGTTCACGATGAAGTTTTAATGAAGGAAGAGCGTTTGGATCGACCTTGGATGCAGGGCTGGCTTTTGTGGGAGTTAGCCTAGACAAATGTCTAGGGCCTCCAAATAATATGGGGCCTCCAATTTAAAAAAAATCAATAGTATATACATTTATTTAATTAGAAATTAGAATTCCAAATACGGAGTAGGAAATAAGGGGTTATGTAAGAAGCATGTGTACGTGTTTACTACGAAAGTATTTTACATTTTTAAGAAGTATTTTACATATTAATAAACTGATGTAAGATCTCACATGTGGAATATTTCTTTACTTTTTTAGATTAGTTTTCCGTATTTTGGTTTTTAACGTTCATATGGAGTACGTAACGAAGTATATTACAGATTACAAAATTATTATTTTATTCATTTGCGTTTCAAGTTATAAAAGTTATTATTTTTATTCATTTAGGTGTTTATCAGTTGTTCTTCACAAATCACAATTATTTTGTTTGTTCATTTTGAATTTGAGCGTTTTCATCCCAAATACGATAGTATAATGGTTTCATTGTTTTTACTTAATTATGCTTTAAAAAGCACAAAATCGTATGTATGGGACTCATGATTGTTCGGTGATTTTGTATCGGAAGTTAAAACGTAACTAAGCTGGTTAGAAAATTACTCCGTAATATACTTGTTGATTTTTGACAAAGAAAAACAAGATTGATTAGAACTATGACTTTATTGGATAGAAAACTAAGTTGATTTAAATAATTAATTAAGGTTTGAGCTCATTTATATTTTCTTTCTAACCATTTCAGGAAAGGAATTAGAAAATATAGTTTGTTAGATTATATCTGATCAAACCATGGCAAAGATAGACTAGCTAACTGGGTTGAGTATATTACCGATCAAGAATTAATGTTAATAGTTTTGATTGTTATAATGTTCGTACTAATTTTACAATTCAAAACACACAAAAAATACATAATTAGAATTTTCATGTATTTTTTATATCTATTTTAGATTGTTTGCATTCAATGAAATACTCTCTTACGTACATAATATCTATGGCACATTTTGTGTATTCTTCGATTCTATTTGTTTCATATTACACTCTTTATATTATGTTAAGGAAAACGTATTGTAATATATTCTCAAAATCAAATAATATTGGGATAAGGGTCAGATAGGGCCTCGAACTTGAAAAAAAATGTCAAATAAGGCCATATTTAGGATGCTCTGTCCGGCCGACGCCATTTGGGGCGGTTCCTGATAGAATTTTTTGATGAATTTTTTTGAGAATCTTATTCATTAAGTCTAGTTTACTCATATCAAATTTGAACTAAAACTTCAATCGGGAAGGCATTCAAATGAATTCTTGAAGATAACTGTGCAGTTAAAAGCGTAGTTATCTTCAAGAATTCATTTGAATGTCTTCCCGATTGAACTGTTAGTTCAAATTTGATATGAGTAAACTAGACTTAATGGATAAGATTCTAAAAAAAAATCATCAAAAAATTTCACCGGGAACCGCCCCAAATGGCGTCAACCGGACATAGCATCCTAAATATGGCCTTATTTGACATTTTTTCCCAAGTTCGAGGCCCTATCTGACCCTTATCCCAATAATATTTGATTGTCTAGGGCCTCAAAAGTGCTCTAGACGGCCCTGCTTGGATGCATTCGGGAGCGTTTGGAGCAAGAAACGGTGAGAAACGGCAAAGAATAAGCCAGCCACGGCCGTGCCTGGGTATAGGCACAATCGTGCCCGAAGACGAAGCAAGCGAGAGTTCACTGCCAGCCAGACACGATCGTGTCCGGCGGGGGAGGCACGATCGTGCCTGCACCTGAGACGCGCGAATGCTCCGCAGGCACGGAGGTAGGCACGATCGTGCCTACCTCCGGAAATCCTAATCCAACCAAAATTTCCCCCTTTTCTATAAATAAGGCCTCCATACTCCTTTTTGAGGGTTACGAACATTACGGAGAGGCCTAGGGACGAATTTACTTGCGTTTTTATCATTGTTTACTCCAAGACCCTGAGATTATTTGTAAGTTCATTTTTTTAATTAATGACAATTATTTCTATTCTTCCCAATTCTGTTGATTCTTCAATTATGAATTGTGAGTAGTTTAATAAGGGATTTGAGGTTGATGAAGGTGTTGATCATGATGTATGGCTAAATTCTTGATGAATTAATTGCATGAATGCCGTTTAATTTGTGTCCGAATAATTTAACTGATATCTTTTGTAATCTAAAATCGCGACTAGAATTACAATTGCTTGTAGAATAAGTTAAGAGAGATCTAATTTGTTCTAGGACACATTCACACACTTAATCGCTCGCTAAGAGATTAGTAGCGAATAAGGGGCCGTAAATTCGCTCGTCTAGGCAATAATTTAGGATCCTGTTACATGAGAGATCAGTCTGGTCCCCTAAATTATTGTACTCTACGCCGCGAGAGCGGTAAGAACTTAGTAATGATTAACTAGGCTCAATTAAATTAAATTCATGTAATTAGGCCTGATCTGCCAGAAATCTGGTTACCCCGGTATCAATCCTTGTCCCCTTCGTCGTTAATTAGAGAGAAACCAAGCTTTATTTTATTCGTTCATCTTCATTTTAATTTTCCAAACCAATCAATCTCGCACAATTGCATTTTATTTTTATTTCTTTTTAATCGTTGAATTTAATTAATCTTTAATTCCCTTTTGTCTGTCCCTATAGAGACAATACTCGTACTTTCACTACTATACTACTACATTTTTAAGTGTGAGAAAACTCACATCAGGTATGCAGCATTCTCTTGCTTGGGTCAAAGGTAAAATTGTATCAGCTAAATAATTTACTTTTGCAAATTTACAACAATTGAATTAAAAAAAGCACTTGTGTTTCTATGATCTTTCACATTATTTTTTTCATTTCATTTTCACACTACCTTTTCTCTTTTGATATTTTATTATTCTCAAGCTATTTGTTTACAAAATGCTCAGAATTTTTAAGAATTTCATAAAATTGTCAACATCTTTCCAAGTTTCTTAAATTTCCGGGAAAACTGTCAAATAGGCCCCCCTACTAATACAGAAAAGTCAATTAAGCCCCTGAACTCAAAAAACACTCAATTAAGCCCACGAACTATAAAAAACGAGGCAAAACAGTCCTTTTAGCAGGTAATTAAGCGGTTTAAAAGAGATAAGGAAATAAGGAAAGAAAGAGAAAAAGAGAAAAAGAAAATGTAAAAGCATGTCACATCATTTGCCACACATACAACTTAACTGGGAACAGTTAATATCCTGCTAAAAGGACTGTTTTGCCTCGTTATATTTAGTTCGTGGACTTAATTGGATGTTTTTTGAGTTCGGGGGCTTAATTGACTTTTTCGTATGAGTAGGGGGGCCTATTTGACACTTTTCCCTAAATTTCCCTATCTGGGGTACTCACGGAAACAGCCTTTCACTCAAAGCGATAGAGATAAAGTCTGTGTAGATCTCACCATCAGCCGTCTGTCTTTTATGTGGCACATACTGGGTATGTTTGGTTTTTGGTATAAACACTATCCAGTTGCCACTTTCCATCATTTTTAATGGAGCCAAAGACTCGCTATTTCTTGGTTTGGGAATATGATGGAATAAAACAAAATGGTTCACTAAACTGTCTGCGCTTCTTTGTTATGAAGTACAGTCAGTCTATGCAATTTTGACGCGATTTTCATTATGGGTCATTCAGAAACAGTCTTTCTATACTTTAGTATAGGGGTAAGACCGCGTACATCCGACCCCCTTACCCCACCGTAGGTGGGAGCCTTTGCGGCACTGGGGTAATGATGATGACGACTATCCAGTTGCCATAAGCAGACCATATCTTTTTATTTGTATTTAAAGATGGCACATTTCTATTGTAAAACACTTCGACCCATGGGCTGGAAAAGGGGTTAATGCTGGTAATATGGGAAGTTGTGTTTATGGATTTTGGTCTGGAAAACATGGTCAGCTGGGTATATCTGATGACATAGTAAAATCAGTAGCCGTTCCTCAGGTCACTTTGGCTTGGAATAGCTCAGAGTTGATTGCATTTTCACAAATGGAGACCACAATGCAGCGATATGTGTAGTAAGTATTTAACGTTGAATATTTTGTTTAATAAAACAAAAACTCTTTAGGTAGTTTATGATGCAAACTTTAAGTAAAACAAAAACTCTTTAGGTAGTTTATGATGCAAACTTTAAGTTTCTGTCGTTTGATAATGTAATCCTCTCTAATTTTTGTGCAACTTTTTCTGAATCTTGCACTTCCATTCGTTTCTTTTCATTTCTTGATTTTCAATTATTTCTTTCATGTTAGCTGATGGGCATTTCTATAGATTGGGAAGAGGCTTTGGTGGGGGCCCAGATAAACTATATATTCCCAGGTGCATCACAGCAAGCTCCTCATACAGTAGCGCTTATATAGGGTGGAATTATTGTTAACAGGTAACAACTATAGTTACATTGAAATGATGAATTAATCTTCTAACATGCTATTGTGAACACAGAAGAGAAGTTGCACTATTATTACATGTTGCTAACTGTCTTTACGCATTTACTTATTTATACTATCATATCTTTTTAAACAATTTGCAGGTGATGGGCAAGTGTTCATGATACGCGGCTATAACTATGGTACTTCGAGCCTTCGAGAAGTAAAAAAACACAGTTAATAGCCAAAACACGTAAAAGTGCAGTTTGAAGCCCCCATTTGTACTGTAATTCTGTAAATCAATCAGTTAGAAGATGTGCAGCATACAAAGTCCTGGCAATATAGGGACTAGTAAATAAAATCTTTCGAAATTTGGGTTCCCTTTACGAGCTTGGAAGATGCTAGAGAAAGAAAGCAGGGAGGAAAAAATAGAGGAAATTTAGAAGGGAAGAAAATATCGTTGAGAAACAAAAAACTGCTTCAACTATATATTTGTTCAAAATCATTTTCGATTTAAGTTTTTCAATTATATAAAGACTACAAAATTTAATTATATATCAATCTTTAAAATTTTCAATTTTGGGTTCTAAGGTAAAACCAAATATGAGAGAACCATTTTCTTTAGTTCTTTCCCCCTTTATCTACCACATTCTCAGTTCCAAACATAGCCTTAAAACAAATTTTATCTTGCATTTATGGTTCTAGTATAAACCTCCTTTCAAATACCTGCATTTGCAGGAAAGAAGAATTTGCACAGAAGATTGATGCTCTCATTGGTAACACGCAAGTATCTTGCACAAGTTGAAAATGTGATACTTGCTTGTCACCAAGGCCGAATTTCATAATGTTTTGCTTTTAGCTGAATTTGTTTGGCTTATTCCATTAGAAATCATGAAAGTTAAAAAACTGTTGTTGTAGTAAAAATATTGCCAATAGCACTGTAAATCATAAGGGGATGCTTAATTAAAAAATATGAGATCACTACACTACAAAAAAACTCGTTTGTGGCAAGGAATCCTTCACAGTTTTTCCAAGTCTAGTGGTGTTGGTTCGGACGTTCGGTTCCAGATTTTGTGCCTATACGGGCATGCCAAAGTATTGTCTCTGATTTTCACATCTGAGCCAAAGATAGTCTCGGAATTTGTGTGTTCGTCCAAGTCATCATCACCTACAAGCGATCCCATGAAAAATGTGGTGATGGCTGGGACAAACGCAGACAAATTCTGTGACTATCTTTGGCTCGGATGTGACAAGGATTCCTTTCCAAAAACAAGTTTTTGTTTTTTGTAGTGATACCCTTATCACGATTATGATTTTAGAAAGGAGAGTTTCCCCCTTTAAACAGTCCAAATAATTAAGTTATCATTTATCAGTATTTGTGCATTGTAAGGAAAAAAAAAGAAAATGAGAATTTAGACAGGAGAGTTTTCCCCTTAAAAATAGTCCAAAATATTAAGTTATCACTACATTGTCAGTTATAAGAAATGGAAGCTATAGAGGACGAGGACCAAGTTTGTTGAGATTAGCAATTACTCTAATATTTAGTGAGAATGGATGTGCGTATAAACTTATGAACTTATATTTTTAAGTGTTAAGGACATATTGAAGATGAATGACCCTTTCCAGAGGGGAGATGCTGAGAATCTAGAGTTGTTTGGTTTTGTTTGGTTTATTAAAGTTAATAATAGAGGCCAGGGACACGAATTGGGTCGTATCTTTATACACAACCATGGAAATATCAGCCTTCCATTTGTTATTTGCACTTGTAAATTGTTAGTTTTTGACAAAATATCATGTCATTGAATAGAACTCAGACTTTCTATAACATCATTATTTCCCACTCACTAGTGTAATTTGTTATAGAAAAAGATAAACTAGATCATATAAAGAAGCAATATATTATTAGTTGAGAAATTGTAGTGGTAGATATATAACTTATACTAGAACTACTGGAATAGGGGATTCAGTTGGACTTGGTTCTGAAGGTATCACAACTTTCCACTTTCTGTCCTTCACAACCCAATATGGTATCGTTGATGTGGCTGGTGGCTCCATCGGGTTTGGGCCGTTTGGCACCGATCTTTTCTCATCTGTTAAAATCAATGATGACAAAGGAGGCTCAGTCGGGTTTGGACCGTTTGGAACTTGCCTCTTCACATCCTCCTCCTTCGTAACCCAATATGGTATGCTTGATGTGGCTGGTGGTTCCATCGGGTTTGGGCCGTTAGGTACTGATCTTTTCTCGTCTTTTGGATGCCCTTTTACATCCTTCTTCACAACCAAGTATGGTATCGCTGATGTGGCCAGTGATTCTGTCGGGTTTGGGCTGTCAGGCACCATATTATTCTGTCCGGGGTTCGGACCGGATGGAACTTCCCTCTTCATAGCTGATTGTGTCGGGTTTGGGCCGTCACGCACCATTCTTTTATTATTCTGTCCGGGGTTCGGACCTGATGGAACTTCCCTCTTCATATCATCTCTGTTCACCCTCTTAATTAGCCAATAGGGATGGGGAATGGTGTGGCGGAAACTACCATACATTGGATTTGGGTGATGGTTTTGGTTATTAGATTCTGATGAAATGGTTAGGAGGAGAAGTGAGAATACCAACATAAGGAGTTGATATCCCAACGTCATGTTTGATAGCCAAGAAGGATATATCTTCATTGTGTTTTTCTTCAAGTGCAATTGCGGCTCTAATGGAGTAGTCTCCCCTATATATATACTCTATTGAATATAGATGGAATGAATATACTCTTTTTTTAGTTTGAATTGTTTGATTTTAAAAGTACAAAATCTTATATACGTAGTAATATAGATGGAATGAATATACTCTTATATACTCGGCAACATATTTGTTTACTAAAATAGAGCAAATTTTAATATAGGGAATGATTACTTAAGATTCGAATATGATTCATATGAATGTCATTTCTTACCTTTTAAAGAAAAGATCTAATTAATATAATTATTACAAATACAGTTTACGCATCCCATATTCCCATTAGTATTGACTTACAATACGTAGTAACTTATCTTTGTTAATTAAAATTCAGGTATTCTATGTATTATATATTTTTATTATTGTATATTTACAATTATTTTAGTTTAATTATTTGTAAAGACAGCTTTGTAGTTTCTACTAATCAAAAGATTATACTTCGTACTACACTCGGATAGAATATCAAACTAGATGTTGGAACTGTGTTGCTTGGGAAAACTACAACTCTACAAGTGATACTGTGATAGTACATTTTGCTAAATTTGTTGATATCATAATTATTCTTTCCTTTTTGGTTATTTTCCCATTTTGATTACGCAATAAATTAAAGCAATCATTACATATCGAGTTATTAATGAATAAAATAATTCTTTCCCGGCCTATTGAAACCAATAATATACTACGTAGTACGTATATTGTAGTTGTGATGTTTAGTTTCAGAAATTATTACTTCTTTCGTATTGATTCCTTAATAAGATGATTATTTATATATTGATTTCTTAATAAATAAAAGCGATATTTTACTTATTGATATTAATAATACGGAGTAAGTCATAGCAACTTGTTAGAATAAAAGTTCTATCTATTTTTCTATTGATTCCTCTTAATAAAAAGTATGCATAGATTGATTCTTTACCCCAGGGGGCGTCGGGGAAGGGGGTTTGGGAGGCCTAGGGTAAATTAGGATCAATCTCACAATCGCACTCCATTGAGATTGATGCTTATTGAACTCTTTCTTTATATATATGGTTTGGTTTCAAAAACATTTTGTCAATTATATTCTAATTATTACAAGGAACAATCAAACATGATTTAAGTATTTAACACGTGAAAACAAAATATTCTATAACACGGTAAAATGATAATTTTTGCAACTAACTCACACAATTTTTAACATTTGAATTTAAATGCAATTTATAAAAGAATATATCTAAACATTATACATAAAAAATAAAATATACAAATATTAGGGAGTAGATGTAACAATCTCAATAACATTTAACACCATAATTTTTTATTTGTAAATTCATATCCCAGGTTTAATAAATGACGTTAACGATAAAATGATAAATTATGTAGAAATGTAAAATAAGAATTATTCATTCTACACTATATTTAACTCTTCTTTCATGCTATTCTAATTGCAACATTGAAGATTTGAGATGTCGACCATATTATTCAGTTATTCACCTCTGATCTCTTAGTCACTATATTAGTTTTGTTAAAAAAAATCTAAAATAAGAAAAACCCTAAAGATTTATATCTATTATTACCCTAAATAAATACCAAAGTTCATAGTGTACTTGAGACATAATCACATGATTTATATGCACACATATTAGAATTTTCATGATAAAAGTGAATCGAAGCTATCAAGACTCTAAAAAAAATAACCTAGAGCATTTTAAATTCACTTTTCAATGATAGAAGATTACATAGCTGAAATCTTCTCTACCTTATTAATTTTCTCCTAATTGGTTTGTATCCTAACAACTTCATGAAATCTTGATGAACAGTGAGTCTCTAGAACTCAATATATTGCATCAAGAAACAACAAACTTAATGAAAGTTGTATAGTGTTTTAGGTAATCCAGTAATGACATTAGAAATATTAAATATATCACCTAATCAGCTCTTGGTGCAATTGAAAAAACATGTCGAAAATTCACTAACAAGCAGTAAATATACAGGGCCGGCTCTAGAATTTTAGAGGCCCTAGGCAAAAAAACACTTGATCATATTAATAACATTTATTTATAACATGAAGTTGGAAAACTTGAGATAAATTGAATGCAAACATTTCATACAAGAAACAAAGTATATAACATATTCAAAATAAACAATAGAGTGTGAACGTCAAATTAAAAACATTTCAAATACTCTGTATATATATCTATAAAAATGAACCAAAAACTATACTAGCACCTTTAATATTCTCAATATACGTACTATCGTTCTCTTTGTTCACATAGAGTCAAAATAAATGTTTACCTATCATGAAAATGCCTACAAAGATTAACTGAGAGAAAAATCACAAACAATTCAGTTAATAAAATACAAAAATTAAAAAATACATTATAAATTAATAGTGATAAATTATAATAAGGAGCGTAAAATAAAATTATTATTAGTTTGAGTATTGTGATTATTGTAGTATTAATTAATACAGGTGGTTTCTATTAAAAACCACAATTCAAATATTCAACTGATATTTAGACAATAGAATTCATAACTCAAACCAGTCCATAAAGATGAGGCTATAAGGTCGTAATTTAATCTATCTACAAAGAGATACCTAAAATCCTAAATGAATGGATGATTAGACAAAGAGTGAAATTGCAAAATTGACCACAAATTCGGTGGAAGTTTAGGAATCAGGATTGGTATTCTGCTACCTATTTCCAATTCGAATTGCTAAATTTTAAAACTAAACATTCCTACGGTGTATTACTAATTAATATTCTTATTCGTGATTTTTGAGGCCCTTCCCCAATGAGAGGCCCTAGGCAAATGCCTAGGTTAATTGACCCCAAAGCCGGCTTTGTAAATATAAATAGGTAAGACTTGAAGAAGTTAAACATGTTGCAAAGATGGTTAAATGAAAGTAATGTTGTTCAAAAAACAGTTTTTCAAAAAGTATTACTTTCAACTTTTGAAGTACGGATATTGTACTTTGAGTTGAGTCGGGAGGGAAACAAACTGAAACTTCTAGATTAAAAAACAAAGAATTTACCTCCCTTACTATCTTGCATAGTTGCATGAGATACATAAAAGTTGATATGCTCATTAAGAGTCCGTTTGGTAATACTTATTTTTAGCTTATCAGATTTATCATCTATTTTTTACGAAACGCGTAACTTTCGATTTCGCACCTTGAATAGAGTAATAATAAAAATAAATAAGGTTGAAGTTATTTTTCTGATAGAATTATCTGAAATAGACTATTTTATTTTTTATATAATTTTTCTTTATTTTATTAATAAAATTTATTTTGATTATAATTTCTCAGTTCAACAGATTGATGTGCCAACCCAATAATATCATAAAGATGTTTATTATGATATCATAAAGATATTTCAATTCAAATAAATTACTATTTTTGACGCAATTTTTTTACTAATCATCTTTATTTGCTTCAAAAACATAGGAAAACAAACATATCTATAGAAACAAACATATTTATGGAAGATAGTATATGTGATCAACAAACAATTTGACAAGTACAAAGACTTTGATTTATGGAATATTTTAATATGGTGAGTGCTAGGGCACTCCAAAATAATTGATTGAACTGTACCAATAATACATTTCATTGGTCCATATCATTATTTCATCGTTTGTTAATATTTTAATTAATCAGTTGTTACATTCTAATTCGTCCATATACAAAAGGTACAACATTTTGAGGATACTGTGGAATTTATGTTTTAATACTAGTTTTTGTAACGCGCGATACGCTATTGGGATAATGCCCAATATATTTTATGCAATATATATCTATAGTTATATGTTTATAATCCATATGGTATCTACAAGAAGATAAAAATGGTTAAAATTAAAAAATCTATGAACTTAGGGTCTCAAAGCCAAAAAGGATGGATGTTAGTCCAATATATTTAGAGCATCTTCAATGGTACAATGTGTACGGTGCACACGTGGCATGAGAGATGACCACATAAATATTAGCAAATAAATTATTTCTCTCCTTATTTGAATGATTTTATACAGTTTTGGTAAGTTATTCTCCACAATGTCAAAGAGACCGTCTAATGTTGACATTGTTGTTGACATTGCAGGGAAAAACTTACTAAAATTATATAAAATCATTCAAATAAGGAGAGAAATAATTTATTTGCTAATAATTATGTGGCTATCACTCATGACACATGTGCACCGTGGACATTATAGCATTGAAGATGCTCTTAGTAAAGGGGTTTTTATTTGAATATTGCTAATTTTGAACCAATTACAAAAAAAATGACTACTTTTAAAAGGGGGCAAAAAAGTGATCAAGAAAATGTGAAAATAATGGGAAAGAGGTACTCCAATAGGAGCTCTAACAGATACATTTATAATAGAAGAGTTGACAAAATACAAAGTATTCCTAAATAGATATGAGGCAGATTCCCAAATATATATTAGGAAGATTCCTAAATATATTAGGCTATTACACCTCCTCAAACTGTGCGGGAGATACAACGCGCAGATTGTCTTTTAAAAATGAAATTGCAAACAAAAAAAACTTTTAGTAAATATATCTAAAGAATCAATGTCTGTAGCAGCAAGCGGCGAACTCAACGGCGCGCTGGAAGCAAGCACCGTGGTCAGCGACGCAGAAAAAGTGGGTTGTGCAGACATAGGCAGCAGCAGGCGGCGAATTGAACGACACACAGGAAGCAAGCACCGTGGTCAGCGACGCGGAGAAGGTGATCTGCGCCATATCAGCTGCGCTCGTCCTCAAAGGATCGCAAACTGTCGTAGATGTGACAACAGTTGACCCCAAGGCGGCGGCTGTACTAGGGTTCATGGGAACCGAAAAAAAAAAGAAAAAAATAATTGTATTTAAAAACTTAAGCTCTGGATACCATGTGAAAATAATGGGAAAGGGGTTGATGTGAGTTTTCTCGCACTTAAAATAGATCGTAATATAGTGGTGTAAGTACGAGTATCGTCTCCACAGAGATGGACAAAAGGGAATCAAGAATTAATTAAATTCAGCGTTTAAAAGAAATAAATAAAATAAATGCGTCGTGCGAGAAATGATTGGAATGGAAAATTAGACTGCAACTAAACGATTAAAATAAATGGGTTCTCTCTAATTAATGACGAAGGGAACATGGATTGATTCAGGGGTAACAAGATTTCTGACAGATCAGGCCTAATTACATGAAATTAATTTAATTGATCCTAGCTAATCATTACTAAGTTTTTTCCGCTTTCGCGGCGTAGAGTACAATAAATTACGGGACCAGGCTAATTTCTCATGCAACAAGATCCTAAATTATTGCCAAGACGAGCGAGCTTACGACCCCTTAATCGCTACTAATTTCTTAGCAAACGATTAAGTGTGTGAATGTGTCCTAGAATAAACTAGATCTCTCTTAATTTATTCTACAAGCAATTGTAATTCTAGCCGCGGTTCCAGGTTACAAAAGATATCAATTAAATTATTCAAACACAAATTAAACGACATTCATGCAATTAATCCATTATGAAACTAGCCATACATCATGATCAACCCCTTCATCAATCCCAAATCCCTAATTAAACTACTCACAATTCATAATTGAAGAATCAATAGAATTGGGAAGAATAGAATTAAATGTCATTAATTAAAAAGATGGAACTTACAAAGAATCCCAAAAGATTGATGAAAAAGGCTAAAAAGCTCTCTAAAATTCGTGCTAAGCAATCTCTCTAAACCCCCCCACCCCCACCCCCCCACCCCCCGCTTGAAAATGGGGTTTACAGGCTGTTTAAATAGGAAAAACGGAGCAATTCGGGCGAAATTAGGAATCCAGGGGGAACGGACGGGGCCCATGCACGGAGTGCGTCCCCCAGTGCGTCCGGCTCATGTATTGTGCAAAAATTAGGCATGCACGGCGTGCGTCCCTCCACGCACGGCCGTGCGTGACTGGCAGTAGCTTCCTTGTTTTCTCGCCTCGGACGCACGGTCGTGTGTTCCCCTACGCACGGCGTGCGTGAAACTTCTGAATTTGACAAAACTTCCTTCATGAAAATTGTAGATAATGAAGTCCTCTATCCACCCCAACTTGCATAATGGGATTTGAATCATCCAATCAAGAGATATGATCAAAACGGTGGAAGGTCGCATTCTGAAATCGCAACAGGGATCTCTGACTTCATTGTCTGTTTTCACCTTCTTCCTCTCATAATCGCGAAACAGTGTCTTCATATGATTTGTAGCCCTTGAAGTTAGATTTCATGTGGAACTTGAATCGTGTACATTGGATGTTTATACAAAGAGATATTCTTGAACGGTTGACATAAGGTCATCCTGATCGTTGTTTTCAAGCTCTATTCGTCTTCTTTTGATCTCATAACCAATCCTAGAGCTCTTTTTCCTTCAAATCTTCATTATAAACCTCCCGTTGACCTCCAAGGCTCTCAATCCACTCTCGAGTGCTTCTCAACTCATCCCGATTGCTTCTCAAGCGCCGGGTGCCGAACTCTAAATTCCTGATTTTGATTCCAAATGACACAAAACTCGAACCAACGCCTAGTAAACATAACTTGAGCTAAAATTGAGACTTGAAACACCTTAAAGCTAGGAAAACCATCACAATTAGATCCCAACATGCATCAAATGCGTGTCTAAATATGGACTTATCAGGGGTACTCCAATAGGAGTCCTAACAGATATATTTATAATAGAAGAGTTGCCAAAATACAAAGTATTCCTAAATAGATATTAGGCAGATTCCCAAATATATATTAGGAAGATTCCTAAATAGATTAGGCTATTAGAAAGTCATATATTTGAAAAAACATAGTGTCTGCCAGATTTGTATGTCACTATTAAGTTTTATGTCATTGTAGCCGCCGCTCGTGTCACTGTAGCCGCCACTGTGTCACTAAAGCCGTCGCACATGTCACTAAAGCCGCTCCGCCTGTGGTCACTGTAGCCACCGCCCGTGTCACTGTAGCCACCACTGGTGTCACTATAGCCGCTGCACAGTGACGCCGCCGCCAGCCTACACAACTTCATTACCCGCCCAGTCTGCTCTAAGACCGCCATGGCCCCCATCATAAGTCCCCCAGCACCCAACACCTCGAAAACCCAACACCATTGCTCCAACTTATTTCCGTCAAAATCTCCGACCAACACCCTGCTCCCCTCCACGGCTCACTAGTGCCACCCTGCCGTGTACAGTGTACCTGCCTAGCGCCGGCCACAACCGGATCCGCCCCAAGAACCACTGCCATCCTCTCCCCAGCCCCCTAGCCCCTATGAAACTCTCCTTAGCCCCAACAACCACCACTCCACCCCCATCTCTGGACAATTAGCTATCACAGATCTGGAATCGATTACAGATCTGAAGCACAGAGACGGTAAAGAGAAGCAACGAAGAAGAAGATAAAGCTTGCATCGCCGTCACAGACAGTCGCCGTCGCAGACGGTCGCCGTCGCTGACGGTTGCCGTCGTACCGGTGGTCTCCGTCTTCTTCGATGGCGTCACACTGGTGGTCTCCGTCAGCTTCGATGACTTCGCGTGGTGGACTCATGGTCGATGATGAAGGTGAGAAGCAGGGACGACCTTATGCGAGAAGCTTGATGATAGCCTCCGTGGATGTGCGGGTGCTAGGAAGTGACGAGTGAAGAAGAGCTGGAGAAGACATCTTGATCCTTCCCAGGAAGAGGTCAACTCACTTTTTGTTCAAATTTTAAATTGGTCATAATTTTGCCCTTTAAAACCTTACGAGTAATATTTATGCCATTAATTCTTTAGTAAAACAATGCATAAATTGCGGTGAATCTGTAAATGAGGATATCCATTAGCATGGAGCAAGATGTATAAGCATCAATGCACAATCATGGCCTTGTTGATGCAGTCGAGCTGAAAAGAGATATGCTCGAAGAGTTAATTAAAAATTTGAATATTGCGGATAAAAAACTGGGGACCGGGAGTAAAAAGGGAAGAAAGTAATATAGTTAATCTGTTAGATCTACCAAAAGCAAAGGAGCTTTCAAAAGCCACCAGAACAAAAGAAGATGTCCCTCCTCTGTTTAGCCCCCTTTCACCTGTGAAAACGGTGAAACATGAAATCATAACTTTTTGGGAAAGTAATAACGCCAAATGCCAAATGTTGGTGTCTTAGAACTTTGAGAAAGGAAGATATACTCCTCAGTTGGAGGAAAAGATAATGGTTATCAAATATTCAACAAGTATGTGTACTAAGCTACTAATGATAAAATCACACGAAGTGATTATATTCCTTTGTTCTTCTTTTCCCTTTTGATTCTTTTAATTTTACCATAAGGTGTTTTTTTGAAGTGTCTGCTCTAGCTCGATGAATCACAGACGTAACAGAACAGTTATACATATATCATCAAATCATCATTTTTAAATATATGGCTACTTCTTTTCGAAGGGGTATACTATTTACTCATAGTAATTAAACATATTGATTATTTACTACTTAGTTTGTGAATGTATAAAATACAACGTATAAACAGATTTTCTACTTTTCAGATGTCCTATGCAAAAATTTACTAATGGAGATGATTATATATTCAAGGGTTTGCACAATCATAATATCCAAAGTACCCAAAAAATGAGAATAAGAATAAATGCTCCTTTAAAGAACCAACAGAACAAAGAAAAAAGGCGGTTGTTGGTTGGTTACAAGAACTTGACTGAAATCAATTTGGCAGAAAATGACATGGTTATCAGTTACTCCAAGTAGCCTATAGAAACTAAGAAATGAATATCTCTATTATTCCAACCAAACAATGTATATCGAATGACGAATGTGGAAAAAAGACCTCTACTTCGCATTAAAATCAATACTTTCCAAATAAAATCAAAGTACGAAGTGTTATATAACCCTTAACCCGTTGATCCCTACTCATGTAGTTTTCCATGGAAATTATACTCATAGTCCTTGTGCATTGTTTCTTTTAGTTTTTTCAAACAAAATCAACAATATAAATTGGAAGTACAAACACAACAACTGATAAACTGAAATACCTTGATGAGAGTAGTTTTGGATGTCCTTATAGTCCGCAGAATAGTAAGTCATGAATGGAGGCATTGTGTGGTCCAAATTACCATCATTCCTTTATCAGACATGGTACAAACAGTCAGAAGATAAAGCAAGAGACAGTGAACTTACGTCTCTTTGACCTTTTCCTTGAATCTGGTTGTTTTTTGGATGCCAGTTCTTGCGGACTGACTGTCGTGTATTGAATTTGTGTGGAACCTTAAAAGTACCGAGATTTCAAAATACCACTCCACTTCCTCTTGTTCTCACAGCAACCTCGACGCTCCATCGCAACAAATATATAATAGCAACATGAGGGACACATGCATACGGGAAATCAAAATTAGAATTAGAATGACCAGATTTAGGAAGTATCCAGATGAGATTGAAATGTAGTGAACTGCCCGGATGTTAGAGAGAAAAAAGGTGGGTGGTTTATCTTTTGGGAGTGCTGATTCACCGGGTGTGGAATTCAAAAGACGCATACGGGAAAGAATACCCACAACCATTTTGTTGGGCCGAAGAAGGTAAGGGCTGTTGGGTTTTAATTAACGGAACGGAATCACAAGGATATGACGGAGGAAATGGCAGTGGGTACAACAACTCCAGCAGAATTTACAACCTAATAATACACAGAGTTACACCCAACAAAATTTCTATTCCATAAAGGCATAACCTTCATTGCCTCTATAAGTTTTTAGATTAGATAGATAGATTTAGATTTAGATCTTTGCATTGGTTCAAATCTAATGAATTTAAAGTCAAACATGACATAATGTTTTAAATTTACAAGTGTAGTATGCCACTTAGTCATTTACATTTCTGGAATTATACATATATATAGAGATATTACCACGAAATAGGACTAAAAATGTTTGAAAAATTCCAAAATAGGACTGTCATGTTTTTATTCACAAAATAGGACTAATTAATGTCATGTTTTGGAGCAGTACCAGATTTCAAACATGACAGTATTTTCCAAACTTGACAGTAATTACTCTTATTTTGAGAATAAAAAACATGTCAGTCCTATTTTGGAATTATTAAATTGTTTTAGTCCTATTTCGGGAACTTTCCCATATATATATTTGGTGGTTTCTGATTAAAAGTTCATTAAGAAATTATCCACAACAGGACTAAAACATTGACTAAACTCCAAAATAGGAGTATAAGTTTATTTATCCCAAATAGGACTCCAGATTACATTCTTGCCCTTCCCCTAATTAAATTTGACATCACCGCCTCCACGTATTAGAAAATAGCAATCTGGGGACTGAGGTGTTGTGTCCCTTCCTCATCAGAGACCTCAGCTCATGATCGACAAGTTCTCCAGCGGTTTTCTAGTCTTTCATTGTTGCCGCCGCTCGTCGGTTACCACAGCCGTATTCGCCGCTCGTTGGTACAGTAGCCATAGCAACCGCCAGTCTTCTCCATCTCCGCAGCCTTCTACAATTTTACCCATGGAATCAAGTAATTTCTCCTTCTCTTCTCTTCTCTTCTCTTCTCTTCTCTTCTCTTCTCTTCTCTTCTCTTCTTCTCTTCTCTTCTCTTCTCTTCTACTTCTCTTCTCTTCTCTTCTCTTCTCTTCTCTTCTCTTCTCTTCTCTTCTCCTCTACTCTTCTGCTTCTGTCTCTTCTCTTCTCTCTCTTCTCTTCTCTTCTCTTCTCTAGTTCTCTTCTCTTTCTCTTCTCTTCTCTCTCTCCTTCTTCTCTTCTCTTCTCTTCTTTCTCTTTCTCTTCTCTTCTACTTCTCTTTCTCTTCTCTTCTCTTCTCTTCTTCTCTTCGTCTTCTCTTCTCTTCTCTTCTCTTCTCTTCTCTTCTCTTCTCTTTCGTTTCCTTGATGGCCGTACTCTGTTTTTGTCTCTTGGGATTCAATTAGATCTGATAAATTGGATGGCAATTAAATAAGGTTCGAGGGGATGGGAATTGAACAAGGTTGGAGTGTTCGAACTTTTTTTTATTGGATTTTTAATTTATTTTTTATTTTTGAATTTGAAAATTTCATAACTATTTAAAATTGAATTGAAAAATGTCACAAATACATTAAAATGACAAGGTCACCCTTGAAGTTAAAATATAAGAAATGTCATGTTTTTGCACCGTTCGAAAAATAGTGCCATTTAAAAAATAATGCTACTTTTATGGTATTGCATTTGTTACGATGACAGTTTTGACACTGCTCAAAAATGACATGTTTTAACACAATGTAATTGTCATCTTTCTATTCCAAAATGCTAACATTATTTTAACATCACAGGTAAACAAGATGTCATTTTTTAAAAATTGACATGTTTATTTTTTTTATATGACATTTAAGGATAGGTTGAATGTAAACAAAATTACATACTTCTGTTTTTGTTTATGTAGAAACATGACATTCTCAATATGACATTTCCAAATATTGTAATGACATAAAAGTGACAAAAGATCTGCCCTACAGTGACTCTGTGCAGACCTCCCTGAGGAATGCCACTTGATATGAGAGAATGTCATGTTTTTATATGAAACATCCATCATCATGGAGTTTTCAAAAATAATATTGTTAAAAATGACAAAATTTGGCAATCCAGTTAAAAACATGTCATTAAAATATTGACATCTTGATATAATATAATGACATAAAAGTGACATTTTTCTAATAACAAGCATTTATGGTCTTTTCATAAACATATCTAATCAAAAACCAAAAAAGTAATAAAAAACCCAAATCCAAATATTTCTGATCATGACCGTTCGTTGAATTGTCGTTTTTATCTCAAGTTGTCATATCCAAAGCAGTATTTTGATTTATAATCTGAAATAGTAAATGAATTAACAATAAACAAATTGAAAAATGAAGAAACAAGGATCTGGAAAAAGAAGATGAGAAGAACATGAGGAAGAAGAACGAAGAAAAAGAAAGAAGGAGAAGGAAGAAGAATGGAAAGAGGAAAAAGAGATCACTTGGACGGTGCGCTGCTATGGATTTTCTACCGGACCAGTCGATCAGATGTATGCAACAATATTATCGCCAATTCTAGTCTACCGGTTAAGTACTGGATCGATAATCATTAAGGGTATTGTTGTCCAATTAGGTAATTTGTAGTCCTAGTTTTGCAATTTAAACATAGGAGTCCTATTTTTGTATTTGTTCCAAGTTTTAGTCCTATTAGGTTAATTCTCTCAAGTTCATTCTATGGAATCTTGCGTTCAGATTCATTTCAATTATGACAAAACAAAGAGTTTTACTTCTCTTCATATCTTGAAAGAGACACATACAATTCAAACTATGCTAACTAAGAGATCGTTTGGTAACACCTATTTTCGGTTTATTAAACTTGTCATCCAACTTTTGTCAAGCACGTAACTTTCGGTTTCACGCACTGAATATTGTAAAAAAAATGTCCAACTAAATATTTCAAAACCTTTTATAATTCTCAATCAAAGAGCCATAACAAGTTCATAAATCCTAAAAAGAAAAAAAAGGTAATAATGAAGTTTTCCTATAAGGGTGATTTTCTAATATATTATCTATTTGAAAAGTAAATTAATGTTTTATTTCTGTTATAGTAAAATGATTGTAATGAAAGCATAGTTTTTCCCATAAGTGTCATTGTCCTATCCCTAGCTCTATTCTGCTCACACTTAAGCTAGACCTCGTCCTCGAGGTCCAAAACAGGTTTTGTACAAGAGTTTGGGATAAGGACACATTTCATTTTGTTTTAACTTGAACCATTTGCTTCCTCACGCTTAAGATTTAGCATGCTTTTGTTAAGGAAGTGGGGAGATTTCAAGGCACAAGAAAAGGGCATACTATGACATCTTGTAAGAGTAAGAAAATTTCCCTTGCACATTACAAAAGTCCAATTTTTCGAAATCAGGTCAGAGCGTTCAGCTCACAATTTATTTATTGAAGCACAACCTTGAAACACACAAAACAAACAAACATTATGAAAAACATGGATTGCCTCCCAAGAAGCGCTTCTTTAACGTCACTAGCTTGACGTTTGAGAGAGAACTCTCGGTTATGAAAATCAGTTGTGGAGCACTCATCATTAGTGCCTCCACTTTATCTTCCAAGTATGTCGACAGATGACGTAGACCTTCGAACTCTCGACACCACCAACATGTGATGTAATATTCGAAGAACACGCCGTGCGAACAAGGAATTAGCATATATCTTGCATCCCTTCATTAGTAGAATCAACAAGTATTTCAGGATCAGGTGCCTCTAGTGTCTCCAACCGCTCAAATGGAGCCTTCAAGGTAAAAGTAGCCTGAATAGAGATTTCATAGTCCTCTAGATGGTTTTTCTCTTCTTCATCTATGCCCTCAACAT